AACCTAACTTTCCTTTATCCGATTATCAAAAGGGGATTGTCTTAATTTTGACTGAAATAAATTTTAAAAACCAAAATGAAATGTTACCCTGAATAAAACTGAAGGTTTGAACGTTGTTGGAAACATTTTAAATAATGTAAGTACACAAGTTAACAAAATATATAACGTAGGTCAAGTTCTTTTTAGACATTTTAAATGAAGAGTTGTTACATGTTTTTTCTTTAAATGTCGCTCGTTAGCTTTTCCAGGATTACCAATCCCATCTTTAAGACGTGGAACCTTTATTACACACATGTTCACTCCTATTCTAACCTGGATTCTCTTGATTTATAATTTAACCCTTGATTTTGGGGTTCTGTGTTTTCATTATCAGTACTCTGCCCGCAGCCCAGTGGAGCACAGACACCGGTCCTCGGTTGTAACAGTAATCACCAAACCAGCAACAGGGATTATCATGTTCAACACACAGCCAGAGATGAAAACACACGCCTCTGTCATGCTACGCTGACCTGAGTGTCACCTCAGAAATATGGAATGTGAAGGGCTTTTGTGTCTTTAAATGAGGTGCGGCCCATTACTCTTCACCTCTCACACAGGAGGAGCTGGGCAAACATCTTGTAAATTATGTATAAACCCCAACACCACCACCACCTCCATCACCTCCACCACCACTCTCTGCTCATCAGCCCCTCGCCTTCTGGAGTGGGGGAGGCAGAGTTACCCCGTGTTTGATCCCGTACATTCAAAGATGTCGATTTCATTTCATCTTGTTAACTGTTAACACATTTCAAGGCCTGAACAGACTATGGGCACACACACACACACACACACATGCACACTGTAAACACTATCACACTCCTCTGGCCCAACCCTGCCACTACTGCACCTCTTGTGTAACCTTCACTGAGGAATGTAAACTTTGCTCGAAATCGCCAATGCTGCCCGAGTGAGCGTAACATCCCCTGTGCGACCTCCATTCATTAAACACAACAGCACTATCAGATCGAGAGAGCGATCATGTTACACAGCAAAGAGTTCTCTGATCCGAACTGTAATGTTGTTCCATCTCTCCCTCACAGCTAATTCACGTTTCACATCCCCGCTGCTATCTCATAGCACCGGTGGGAATATGACCGAAATAAAAATATACGTCTCGGTGTGAGTGAGAGGCTGCAGACGAAGTGGGGAGAGGCTGGAGACAGACAGCGGGACGGACTGGTGAACGAATCAAAGATGTGCGTGATAAGAGACGCAGCCTGGAATCTTTGAGCTGCAGTGTTTACCTCGAATCTATCACGAAAACTGGCTCCAATCCTTTTAGTGGCTGTAAAGTAAAAACATCAACATACCTCAGGTAGATAGAGAAGTTTCACTACAGGCTCTGGACAGGAGGAGGGGCGGTGCCCATGAAGATAAACCACTCAGTGTGTGTGTGTGTGTGTGTGTGTGTGTGTGTGATTTGCACTTTGATTTAGTTGTAATGTTTTACAGCCGCCTTCTCCTCCACTCTTCTACTGTGCAAACACATTGTGTTTGAGTACCACCCTCAGGAGCAAGTCGGTGGCAGGAGGTCTCCGCCACATGTATGTGTGTGTTGAGAGTGTGTGGTGCAGGTATTACTCATGTTGTGGGTTCACACAGTCACATTAAGGTAACTTGTTGTCCTTGTGGTAACAAAAATCAAGTCCCCATTACGTAAATCATATGAATTTTAAGGTGAAGACGTGTTTTAAGGCAAGGCCCGCGATATACTCGCTGTTTAACCACGCGTACATGCAGGCAACCGTTACTGTGTGTTACCTAAGGATACCAGTAGGGGGCACACCACAGAACTCACACTAAAGATTGTAAAGCACTCGGACAGATATTTCTGCCACCTTGGTTATTGTGTGCAGTATCCAAACAGAAAGATGGCGGCACTTGAGGAGATCAACATTTGTTGTCATGGAAAGATCAAGACAGAAAAGACAAAGTTCACGTATCAGTAGATTGTTTATCAAGTTTTCTTCTGTGGTTCTGCCGACGTGCCGCCATTTTTTCTATCACTGGCTGCTGACCCTGTGGCGTGCGTGAAGACATGTAGTGGAGTGGTAGCACTAGAACACGTAGGTAACAAGAATACGCCGATGCAAAGTCTCCAGGAAATCAATGCAAGTCAATGTAACGTCCTCTGAAGTCATGGAGACACAACTGTGTGTGTGTGTGTGTGTGTGTGTGTGTGTGTGTGTGTGTGTGTGTGTGTGTGTGTGTGTGTGTGTG